ATTTTAGATAAAAATTGTTTATTTTCCTTCAAAAATTAAACAGCAAGCCGGGCGCAGTGGCTCACGCCTATAATCCTAGCACTTTGGGAGGCTGAGGCGGGTGGATCACCTGAGGTCAAGAGTTGGAGACCAACCTGGCCAACATGGTGAAACCTTGTCTCTACTAAAATTACAAAAATTAGCCGGGATTGGTGGCGGGAGCCTGTAATGCCAGCTGCTCGGGATGCTGAGGCAGAAGAATCGCTTGAAGCCAGGAGGCGGAGGTTGCAGTGATCATCGTGCCACCGCTCCACCCTGGACAACGGAGCAAAAACTCCGTCTCAAAAAAAAAAAAAAAAATCAAACAGCAGGTACCATTTTAGACATAGTTATCTTAAGAGATATAGGTATATTTAACTTTAACTTTCAAGTGGTAGGTGAGAATAAAAGGAAATTTTAAAAATATTTTAAATATTACCTCTCTACGTATCAAAAAGTGAAAAAATCATATTTTGCATAATTTACATGAAAAACATCACTACAGACCACTCACGGCTCTACCATCCCACCATTACTGAAAACGGCAACTTGCACTTAGTATTTATTATATAACAGGCATTCTGTCTAGCGCTTCACATGCTATATTTAATTCTCACAAACTCAGGTGGTAGAGATTACCGTCTATAGGTGAGGAAACTAACGCATGGGTAGGTTAAGGAATTTGCCCAAGGAATTCAGATCCAAATGAGGTCAATGATATACATGTATCTTTTCAAATGTATGAGGTTAAACAATATAGAACTATAAAATTTTTATATGAAATGCATCTACAGCAATCAGAATTCTAATTGCAGCTGAATTTGTAAGTACAGATTTTTGCTGTCGACAGAACTGCAGTTCTTACAATAAATTCTCTAAATTATGTTAACTTAGCTGACATTCAAAAATTTGAAAGCATATCTAATACCACAACATGATTATCTCTGAATTTTATTCCTCTGAGAGGCTTCTAAGGCAAGCATGCCAAGGCACAGGCTAAACTTAATTTTGGACAAACTCTGTTTCAAGTTTTAAATCTATTAGGTCTGCTGTAAGTCAAACCTTGCCACTATCTCTACTGGAGGAAAGGGAACACTTAAAACTGACTCCCCTTCACTTCAATTTTCTCTGTTTTTACTAATTTGTTTTCATTCAAAAGTCAAAGGTCACTAACGATGTTTTCAGTCATGAATTGACTAATGTGATTAATTTCTAGAATTTACAAACTTGTGTGCTTCAGTGTTAACACATGAGTATTATTTTGACGAACAATTTAAAACAATGCTCCTGGCCACCTGTTCATGTTTCCTCTACTACTTCTAGGTAATAAAGGAATTCCTCTCAGATGATTCTAATTTTAAGGATGAAGTTCCTACATTTAAAAATATAAAACACAAAAATAAAACTTATGCTACTTGGTAAAAACAAACATTAAAGAATGCTCATATAATTTTATATGAAAGACTCCATACTAAAAATCGTAGCAGTGGGTTTTTACCCTGACCATAGTAACTGGCAGATTTCTCAAAAGAATGAGAAGTGGTGTGAAAATTCAGAATAGTGAAAAAAAAAAAAAAAAAGCTACATAAACATACCAGCACAGCTGGCTCTTGAGCTAACGCGAAGAGGGGGACGAACACATTTTTGAAGGCTATAATCGGGCTGTGGATTCCCTAAAGGGCATGTGATGTAATACTGGAGAGTCGCCTAAAGGAAAGGGATAGGTTGACAAAGGGGGTGCGGATGCCAGAGAGAGGGATGAGCCTGAAGGTGGCAGGGAGGAGGTGGATCACGAGCTAGTGCAGGGGTGTGTCAAAAGATGATTTCGGGGAGTGGGAAAGTGGCCCGACAAGCGAGGGTACGAGAGAGAAGGGAGGGTGGCGCAGAGAGGAGGCAGGGAGGCTCCCGGGGAAACGGTGTGACATCTGGCGTGCGGAGCCGGCAGGGGGCAGAGCAAGCAGGATGTCACGTGGAGCAGGCGCTACGGGAGCCGAGAGGGTTGCGTACGGACAGAGGGGGGTCTTTCCCACCGCCTGAAAGACTGTTACTCACAGGAGTCGCGGACTCTTCTTGCCCTGAACTGGAGACGGGGACTTCGCGGCCTGGGGCTGCTGCCCGGGGACGTCGGGAGGCCTGGCGCTGGGGCTGCTCCTCCGCCGGCGGGGATACTCGGCCTTCCTCCGGCGGGACACAGCTGCAGCGGCGGCGGCGGCCGCAGCGGCCCGGCCACGATCCCGACCTCCCCTCAGCACGCGGCTGCTAGTGGTCCCTGCAGGCGCCGCCGCGGCCGCCTCAGGGGGCCGTTGTTGGGGCTCCTCCGGAGCCGCCTTGGCCACCTCTCCCCCTTCCTGGTCCTGCTGCTCCGGGGGTCTCGGCTCTTCCGTCTCCCCCGGCATCGGGGCTTGTCCGTCCCCCACCCCCTAGTCCCAGGCGGCGGAGGCGGAGGCGGCGGCCTCGGCGCTGCTCCCCCCGCCCCCTCGCCTCCAGAAGCCTCCGGCTCACTCTCACCCTGCGCTCCTCTTTCCCCCCTCCCCTCCGCCGGGCTCCGAGGGCGCCCCCCCCACCCCCTGCCACTCAAGGTTTGCTACCGCTGGCGGCGCGCGCGCGCCCGCCACAGACGCTCAGCGGGCCAATCGGAGAGGAAGACAGTCTTCCTCACCCCGCCCCTCGCGGTCTTACACGCAGCGACGTTCCAGGTTCCCTCCCCCACCCCTTCCTTCAGCCAATCAGGAAACGACTAAAAGGGAGCGCGCGAGGTTTCCTTCCCCGCGCACCCGTTCTCACCGTTAAACGGCTGTCTCGCGACAATCCCAAAGTGACCTTTTCCCCCCCTCCAGAGTTCAATGCGCGCTAGGGGCAGTACGAAGGGGCAGGTCTCGCGAGGGAGGCGGGTGAGAAGAAATCGCACCTCTTTCCCTGCCTCACGCGCACCCTAGACTGGCTGCGCGCGCACCTGCCTCCCTAAGGAGCCACTGATGCCGCAAGGGCTCTTTCTATTCTTCTTCAGGCCGCAGAGGTAGTCTGGGCGTTCTTCCTCCTCCACCCTACCCCACTTTCCTGTCTTTGGCCTTTCTGTCCCCAGCGCCGCCAGATCTTGCGCGGAGAAGGGGGTAGTATTTTGAGCTGTCGCTTCTCCTTTAAGAAAAAAAGCCCCGTCGGTTGCCGGATGAAAGTCTCTGAAAAAATGGCGGCGGCAAAACGGAGGCGGGGTTGTGGGTTAACGGGGGCCCGCCTCCTGGCGCATGCGCACCGTTAACTTAACCAAGGGCATTCTGGGAGATGAAGTCTTATTTCGCCTAGGCTTTAGAAAAAAATAGATGGGAAACCAGAGACAGAGAGGATGCTGGGAAGTTCTGACTGATTCACGACGGGAAAGGTAGTTTACTTTCCGCAGCCTAGCGTTTACTTTTTTTTCGGGAGGCAGTGTTTCCGGGTTAGGTCGGGAAACGCGTGCCATACATCCGGGCTCAAACGTTGAGCCAATTGCTGGTCTGATGGGAGGGTTTTTCCTATTTTTTGTTACTTTTTATCTGGGCGTTGGCGTACCTTTCTCGGGGTGTCTGCGTAATTGCCCCAACTTACCTTGGTTTGGTCAGATGACACCTCCTCTGGAACTGGCTAGCCAGCGTTCATGTCTACATTATTGATCTCGTCGTCCCCTGTGTGAGTCACTCACCTGTGAGCTCCTAGAGGTCAGGGAATGAATGTGGTTCCGTGGGGTCATCTGGCCCTCGGAGCGCTAGTACAAGGCCCACTACTCAGTTGGCTCTTAATAAAATCTGTGAAACGAATTATAAAGTTGCTTTTCTACTAGACCTTGTTGGGACACCAAGAAGCCTTCGTCGGTTGCTTAACTTGGCTGCGGTGCCCGACCTGGAGGAAGGCGAAAGGGTTGTTAGCGTGACCAGACTCTGGTGACCTACACTGAGAAGCTGAAGGGTCTCTTAAGCTCTGCGGCCGGAAGCCATGTGCTTCTGCGGTTTATACAATAGCAACTTTATCAGAAGTTACTTTTCTGCACACTAGCGTGTGACGTTAATTTGTCTTCCTGATTCATCAAAGGGAGTTTCCGTTGCAGTTGGTGATGCTGTGGGCCTCTCGCATTTCTTTTTTCCTTTCATCCATAACAATCAAGGAACGATTTGCAAGAACACCCTTTACCCCTGGAAAATAAAGCATCCAGGGCTAAAAGCCCCAGAAGAAAGAAGCTGGAAACAAGATCTGGGGATCCAATTTTAAATTTCACATTAATCATTCAGTTAAACTGTAGGCAAGTGCTGAAGTACATTTTTCCTTCCAGTACTTTGACTCAGATACCACTTCATATTAGACAAATGTTTTATGTTCTCTACTGAGTATTTTACATTTTCATAGGGCTAATGTCATTTTCAGTTGTAACAATCGATTGGCATAGTGTCAATGGAAATTTTTTCAGATTGAGTTTGCAGTAAGCCGACTTTTGGAAGGAACAGTGCTGACATCCATTGGATGCTCAAAGTAATACAGAGGAGAAATCTTTCAAAAAAAAATGTACAGACAGTGGAATGAAGAATGAATTGTTCCTTTAAAAAAAAAAAAAAAAAAGCCACTGTGGGCTGGTTGTGGTAGTCCACCCCCGGAATCCCAGCGCTTTTGGATGCCAAAGTGGGAGGATCCCTTGAGCCCACAACTTCCAGACCAGCCTGGGCAACATAGGGAGACCACCCTCTACACAAAAAATAAAAAACAAAAATAAATAAAAATAAAGTTTTTAAGCCAACTTAGTGGCGTGATGGCATGCACCTCTGGTCCTAGCTACCCCAGAAACTGAGAAGGGCAGATCGCCTGAGTCCGGGAGTTCCAGTTGGAGGTTACACTGAGCTATGCTAGTACCATTGCACACCAGCCTGGGTGACAGAGAGCTTGTCTCTTAAAAAATTAAAAAGACTACTGTGTTGTAGAGGAAAGATCGCAGACTTTGAAGTCTTCTATTATAGTAAGTAGCAAAGCTACCAATTAATTATAGCAAGTTGCTATTCCATGAACCTATTTCACCATTGGTAAAAAGGGAAGGGGAAATCTACTTCACAGGGCCATAATTAGAGTTCCTTACATATTGCCTTTTTATAGTAGGCCTTTGGTAAATGTTTCATTCAAGGTGAATAAATCACAGTGGTTAAAAAAAGTGAAGAGTTAACCTCGGTGTCACTTTCCAGAGAAATTGCTATAAGGCAGTGTATCTAGACAGGGATTATGCTTAACTGAGATGCACACAGTTTAACATCTGGTGTCAAACCTCGCTTCCTTCTTTGTGACCCCCCTATAGATGTTTGCTTTTTGGACCACTGAGTAAGCCAGGCCCTGAGAGTCCAAGCATGAATCCACTTCTGCCCTACTTTTAAGGATTTATAATCCATGCAGGAAAGCAGATAAGCATAATTTCTGAATAAATAAAGACAACAAAATGAAATGGATGCTGGTCAACTCTGATGGAAATTTTAAGAAAGAGACTATGCCTCTGTGGTTCCCCAGCTTCACAGAAAGAAAAAAAAAAAGAAAGGTAGATGCTCAGTTAGAGTGGGGTACCTACACTTGGAAAAAACGCAAGTGTAAGTCTGCCATGCCCATGAATCCAAGATGAATCCTGGCACAGATTAGGTCCTCAGTTTTTGCAAAATTAATTTTGAATCTTTATCACCCTGGCCAATGCACTACCATAACTCAAATCTCACTATCTACCTTTCTATGTCAATCCCATTTTTAAAACTGTATAACCTATGAAAAAAAAAAAAAAGCTCACCAAATCAAAAGAGAGGAAGTGCTAAGCAAATACAGGAACCAAAAAGGGTTATAGAGGCTGCCTTATGCTGTCTCATCCAGTTCCTTTGCGGTCCTCTTCTTCAGCACATGCCAAAGCTGTTCCTCACGGCCTGTGAGACAAGAGCATCTTGGATGTAGGACAATGGAAGAATTAGGTGAGTGAGGAGCTTCTTGGAGGAGAAACTCTGAGGGAGTGAAGACTTGGCTGCCATCTCCGTGTGTGGTGGGGTATACTTCTGGTTAGACTGAGGGTAGTAATGGAAGATTTTATTTTCACTTCTCTCTTGTCCTCAGCCCTGCCAAGAGTGAAGCATGAGGAACTATGATTGTTTTGTGGAACTATGGGCTCACTGTTTGCAGTGGCAAAAGAGATGGAGAGTTTGGTGCTAACCACAGAGTAAACTCTTGGCAAATACTTTCGGACTGGATTGTGATTGAAATTGCTATTTTATTATGGGCATTTTGCCCTTTGGAGTTCACTGGAGATCATAGGATGGCCACATAGCAAGACAATGCAGAGACGTGATTTGAGGAGGAAAAGAAAGAGCAAAAAAGGAGTTGGGGTGTTATGAGGAAGAAAAAATGGACTAGAAGTATAGGAATGAGGGATCTGTAGAGGTTGGAAAAAGGACAGAGTGGTTTCATTTGTTCCATGTTTTAGTCTTAAATCAAGAAGGCATAGCACTCTAACTCTAGTGATGTTGTTGCTAAGCTTTTTATTCAGAAGAATTCTGAAGGAAGAGATTATTATGGCCTGAAAATATGACACCTCCTTCCACTCCAAGGCAATTAAAACCAGCAGTGGAACTATCAGCCACATTATCCAGAGAGATCCTGGATTTCAAACCTTTGGAGTAATGTAAGGTTTGTCATTCTTGGGACTCATTCCATAGCCTTTGCCAACATCTGTTGCCAGCATCTAACTAACATTGAGTCACTCAACTTTACCCAATTTCCAAGCTGTATTAATTCCACAGTGTCCTGGTTTGGGGTGTGGTTGGGGATGGGATATGTCAAAAGTGCAAAAAACAACAACAAAAAAATATCTTGCACATTTTTACATTGTCTTAAAAAAAATGGCATGTGATTTCAAAGCTGGAGAAACAGGAAAAGTAAAGGGCAAATTACCAGGAGGCAAGAGATGTCAATGAAGTGAAAAAGGTAGTGTTTAATAACTATCAAACTGCTTTGGCGGTAAAGTCTATTTTGATACTGGGCCAGACTCTTTTGGACTTGCGGTAGAATCCAAATTCTTATCCTACATGAGTGCTGGAAGAACGTGAATTTCTGCCTGAGTTCCACTAGGGCTAGGGCCTTTGGTTTTTTTTTTTTTTTTTTTTTTTTTTTTTGGCGGGGAGGACACTGAATGGCTTTCATGGCAAATAATTCAAAAGGAAACTAATACTTATTTAGTGAGTCAAGCAAAAACTAGACATTTTTACACGTGTTAATGATTTTAGTGTCTGCAGCAACCCTCTGAAATAGGTATTATCCACTTCTTTTTCAGATGAGAAAACTAAGAAAAAGAAAATAACTTTTTCAGTGTCATTGTCGGGAACACCTGACACCAAAACTAAGCAACAAGGTGCTCTCCTATTTTAGAAGTTTTTGGTTCTGGTGTTCTGGCCAATGAAGTAACCCAGATTTAACAGAAATTTATGTTGTTTTGCATTTCCTGAGCAGGCTAGATGTTAGGTAAATCTTGTCCTGGAATACAGAAAGTACCAAGTAGCCTGGAAGCTAGCAGTTGTGCAGATTATCCAGTTGGCTACATCTCCACAGGCTGTTGATGGCTACACTTCAACAGTTTCTTCAAATTGTCGTCAGCCCAGTAACTACTCTTGAGACTTGGTGTGGATCTTTCTTCCTGCTGGCAGAGAAATTGCATCGAGGACAGGTTGGCTCAAGTGAGCAAATATTTCCTGTCTGCAGTAGTGCCTCAGAGGCTAGCAGCTTGTATCCACCCAGAAGGTTTTACCTAAACCCTCATTACATAGGCATTAGGCATGATAGATAAAGAGGAACCAGGAGCAGATTCTGCCTCCGAATGAAATCCATGCAACCCATAGAGACTCCCAAGAGACCTCACTTTATTCCTTTCATGTAAATATTGATATATTTCATCTCCACAGTAAAAGACTACAGAGAAGAATTATAGAGTCTTCAGTCTTGTACCCGCTTCCCCCGCCCCCACCCTCCAGGAATCCCATATTTGTCATACTGAAATTAGTCATCTTCAAATTACAAAATCTGGCAAAAGGCATAATAACCTCAGAGTGTTGGTGATATGCAGACTCATGAAACAGGAAGAGAAAAGCCTATAACTCATGACCCAGAAAGAAGAGTTTTGATAACTTTGGTTAGCTGGTGCTTCTGAGGGCAACTTCCTGCTCTTAGTGGTATGTTTTCCTCTCTCTTATAATCTTGATTTTAATTTTGAGCTCAGGAGTATCTTTAGCTTCTAGTTAGAGCAAAGCTTAGAAAATTGAAAAGAAAGAGGTTCTAGCTTAATTGAAAGATGCAGAATAAAAATTCAAAATTCTCAAATTTGGTGTGGGGTCTGGCTAATAAAAATCTGAGGCAAAAAGTTTTCTTTCTCTTTCTACCTTAGTTATCCTTTCTTCCGTCTCTTTTTTTTTTTTTTTTTTGAGACGGAGTTTTGCTCTTGTTGCCCAGGCTGGAGTACAATGGCACGGTCTCGGCTCACTGCAACCTCCACTTCCCAGGTTCAAAATATTCGCCTGCCTTAGCCTTCCCGAGTAGCTGGGATTACAGGCATGTGCCACCTTGCCTGGCTAATTTTGTGTTTTTAGTAGAGACCAGATTTCTCCATGTTGGTCAGGCTGGTCTTGAACTCCTGACCTCAGGCGATCCACCCGCCTTGGCCTCCCAAAGTGCTGGAATTGCAGGCGTGAGCCACTGCTCCCAGCCTATTTGTACTTCTTTTTAAAAACCTTCTATTATAAAGAAATTTAAATATGCAAAGGTAGAGAAAATAGTTTAATGAATTCTGATATACCCATCAACCAGTTTAAACAATCAGTTTTTCATCAGTCTTATTTCATATATAGGCCCACCCATTCCTTTCACCGCTATAATTATGTTAAAACAATTTCAGATGTCATTTTATCTGTAAATATTTTAGCACTAACCTCTAAAATAAATAAATATGTTTATACATACAACTGTAATGCCATTGCCATAACCACAACAACCTTAATAGTAATTCCTTAATATTGTGAAATACCATTATCACACCTAAAAACTTAACAGAATTACTTAATATTATCACATATCATTATTACATTTAAACAGTACTTACTTGATATTGTTTAATATCCAGTCAGTGTTCAATAGTCTTGATTGTTTCATTTTTAAGTATATTTAACGATCCAAATAAAGTTCATACACTGAAATTAATTGTAAGTCTCTCGACTTTTTAATGCTATAGGTTCCCCCTCATCTCTTTTTTCCCGTTACAGTTATTCATTTGCCCTAAAGTTTAGTTCAGTTTGCTTATCTCTAAAATGGTACATAAAAGTCAACATTTTTGAGAAATGAATGATTATGAAAGCGCTGTAGATTTCATTTGTTTAAAAAAAAAAAGGATTAGATCTCTTCTAATGCCATTAAGAAATATTCATTCCTCCAAAATCTAAAATAAATGAAAAATCTGGGTTTTTTAAAATGACCTGTGAAGTTTATTTTCCTTATGTGAGAACTTCAGATGTAGACAGGTCCTTAGATATAATATAATTCTGTGTTTAAAGTTCGAAAACTATAACTTGTGGTAAGAAATCCGCTAGAGATCCACTAACGGGTATTGAGCCGTAATTTGAAAAATACTGTTCTAATCCAATTGCCTTGTTATGTAGATGAGGAAACTGCATCAGAGAAGGACATGACATGCTCAGGATAACCCAGGAATACGTCTAAGACAGGAGACTGGAACTTCTAACTTTCAGTTAGTGCAGGGGCTAGGGATCAGATAGCTCAGATTCAAGTCCTGGTTCTGCACTCATGAGCTTAAGCAAATTATTTTTGTCTCTTTCTTGTGATCTACCAAATAAAGACAATAATATCATCTGCCTCAAAGTGTTAGGATGATTAAATGAAATGTGTACACTCCTGAGCACAGTGCCTGGCATGTGTTACTTTTTATTATTATTTATTTCTTTATAACAGATAGGTACTAGTAAAAAAAAAAAAAAAAAAAAAAAAAAAAAAAAAAAAACCACGAGAGTAACAAATCCCAACTATTTAAATTGCAGCATCTTACTTGATTTTGTAATATCTCAGTTTTCTCCCCATTTTTTCTCTCCACACCCTAAAAGACAGAATACTTATACCTTGCTTTGAGAATTTTATTATGTGCTCAGGATAATTGTTAAGATTTAAGAAAAAATATCATTAGGATTAAGAATAAGTGGTATTTCCCTTGTATGTTTTGAAAAATGATGATATAATTGCTTGTATTTTTCTGATGGAAAAAAGCATTTAGGATTTTTTTCTTTCTTTCTTTTTTCTTTTTTTGTCTGTTTTTTTTTTTTTTTTTTTCTTCTTCTTCTTTGGAGACAGTGTATCACTCCTTTGGCCCAGGCTGCTGAAGTGTGGTGGTGTGATCTTGACTCAACGCAGGCTCACCTAGGCTCAGGTGATCCTCCCACCTCAGCCTCCTGAGTAGCTGGGACCACAGGTGCACGCCACCATGCTGGGCTGACTTTTTCGTATTTTAATACAGACTGGATTTTGCTATGTTCTGGAACTCCTGGGCTCAAGAGATTCTCCGCCTCAGCCTTCCAAAGTGCTGAGATTACGGGCATGAGCCACTATACTCAGCTCAGTTTTATTTTTTCTAATTAGGGATATTTGTGGGCAGTCTACCCTAAATGAATGATGAAAATTAATACCTGTAGTATAAAAAATCAAATTATAGCATGAGACTATGATATTGAATGCAACCATAGAAAATAAGAAAAAAACCACAATTTATGGAGGCATTAAACATTTCTTGATAGAATTCACCACATTCTTGAAGTGAAATAAGGAATAAGGGAAAGTATTTGAAAATAGCCATAACTGAAGAAAAGAAGGAGATGAATGTGGGCACAGTGAAGATACTTAAGGAGAAAATGACTTTAGAGACTTAAATATTCTCTGTCATGATTCTCTTACTTCTTATGGTGTAGATGCCTTATTGGAGGAACTGGAACGCTCCACCCTTCAGGACAGTGATGAATACTCCAACCCAGCTTCTCTTCCCCTGGATCAGCATTCCAGAAAGGAGAGTAACCTTGACGAGACTTCAGAGATCCTTTCTGTTCAGGATAACACAAGTCCCTTGCCGGTAACTTTTCATTTATTATAGTCCTTAAACATGGATGTTTGAATGCATTTCTGAAAATTAATTGTATCCCACATAAAATGATATGAAAGAAGAATAATATATCCAAGAAAGAGAAAAAATAATGCCTCAATGCTCATCTAAAGTTGTTTTTGGAAAGAGGAGGAGAATTGAGAAAATCATCACAGAGGAATGAGTTTGAGCTTTTGAGAACTAATTTTTTTTTTTTTGAGACAGTCACACTCCATCTCAAAAGCTGGAGTGCAGTGGCATGATCTTGGCTCACTGCAACCTTCACCTCCCAGGTTCAAGTGATTCTCCTGCTTCAGCCTCCCAAGTAGCTAGGATTACAGGCATGCACCACCACACCTGGCTAATTTTTGTATTTTTAGTAGAGATGGGTTTCGTCGTGTTGGCCAGGCTGGTCTCAAACTCCTGACCTGAAGTGATCTGCCCGCCTCGGCCTCCCAGAGTGCTGGGATTACAGGCATGAGCCATCATGCCTGGCCAAGAACTAAATTTTTTCTAATGAGTGCATGGTCACAGGCAGAGTATTGTCTGATTCACTGGGGATATTCTGTTACTGTGGGGGCATCAGAGATGCATGTTGCTGTTTGACTGGAATGATACTCAAGCCAGAGATCACCTGAGGAAGGCCAGGTGGCAGCTTAGACAAGTCTTCTCAGGGTGACTTTTTAGGGTCACCACTTCCCAGGTCGTATTTTCTGCTGAATAGATTAGGAAATTCAATTATTAGTTTACACGGAGATGATGAAGCTCTAGGGAACCAACTGAAGCTAACCAAACTGACAAGTGATTATATGTATATTTTAAAAACCTAGGGCAGGTGCAGTGGCTCAGGCCTGTAATTTCAGCAGCTTGGAAGGCTGAGGTGGGAGGATCACTTGAGGCCAGGAATTTGAGACCAGCCTGGGCCACATGGTGAGACCTCCATCTCTACGAAAAATTTAAAAATGAGCAGGGTGTGGTGACACGTGCCTGTGGTCCCCGCCACTCAGGTGGCTGAAACAGGAGGATTGCTTAAGTCCAGGTGGTCGAGGCTGCAGTGAGCTATGATTGCACCACTCCGTCCCAGCCTGGGTGACAGAATGAGAGCTTGTCTCAAAAAAACAAACAAAAAACAAAAACACAGAACTTAGAAATCAGATTTATTAATTTATGGTTACAGTTAAAGCAATCAAGCAAAGCAGCTGTATTTACTCATATATGCATTCTCTTCCTATGGATAAGTCTATATGGATGTACATTATAATTAAAAGGTTGCTTGATGAGAATGGAATTAGTGTAAGATGAATTAAGTAGATGGTCTTCATAGCTGGTAATTTTGTACTATGATGTTTTGATTTGTCATTGTTCCCTATATGAAATAACCAGAAGCACAGACCTGAAATTTGAGCTCAGGGGTGGTTTACCCCCTAACTGTTCTTTTCTCCAAACACATACACAGTTTTAAGGATATGAATTTGTCTCTATACTACGGAACCATTGTCTTTGTTTTCAATGTTAGATTATAGCTGTAGGCTCCTAAGTGGTCTCCTGCCCTTTCCCCTGCTACAGTCTGTTCTCAAGCAGCCAGGGTCACCTTTAAAAACTAAAGTCAGACCCAGTCATTCTTCTGCTCAAAACCCCACAATGACTCCCTATTTCATTTGGAGTAAAAGCCATAGTCTTACGTCGATGTTTCTGGGGTGACCATATATCCTGGTTTACCTGAGACAGTCCTGGGTTTATGCTTGTTTTTGTCACATGCTGTTAACTTTACTTTTTACCCCAGATTTGCAATTTTATTTAAAGTTTTCTTATCAGTATTTGCATTAAGTAAGCCAGTATGGCTTAACAGACCTCCTTCCAGCTTCTTCCATGGTCTCCTCTAGCAGTGTATAGAACACATATTCAGTGAACAGTGCTCTTTTTTTTTTTTTTTTTTTACCCAAGATGGAGTCTCTTTCTGTCGCCCAGGCTGGAGTGCAGCGGCGCAATCTTGGCTCACTGCCATCGCTGCCTCCCAGGTTCAAGTGATTCTCCTGCCTCAGCCTCCTGAGTATCTGGGACTACCGGCATGCACCACCATGCCCAGCTAAATTTTGTATTTTTATTAGAGACAGTGTTTCACCATGTTGACTAGGCTGGTCTTAAACTCCTGACCCCAGGTGATTTGCCTGCCTCAGCTTCCCAAAGTGCTGAGATTACAAGCGTGAGCCATTGTGCCCAGCCAAATTCTGACTTAATTTTGGTCGAATGCAGAAGATGGCTAGTGATAACTTGTCTTTTTTCTTGATTCCGTTCAGATGAAACCTAGCTAGCAGCAACCGTTCAAGAATTATATGCAGGTGCTGGCTGTTAAAGCTAAGAGCTCAAGCACAAGTAGTCAGAGATAGCTAACTCTTCTGATCTTCGGTGGTAGCAGAAACATTTCTGAGGCTTTTCCCCCTGCTGGCCACTTGGCAAACCACCACTCGTGCCCTCCCATGGTCGTGTGGTAGGTGGCCTGTGAGATGCATGGAACCTCCGCAGAGTCAGTAGAAAATGGGAGAAATTGTGGCTTAATGTCATACAAATTTTAGGAAATAGAGGCTAAGTAATTTTGCCATAGAGTATAGTGTAACCCTAATTGTTTTATTAAAGCAGTTTTGTTATTATTTGTATATGTGAAGCTCTATTTGTTTTATTATATGGTAATGCCTTTTTAATTTTACAATTTTACAATAAACCCTTTCAGCAGTTAGCTCAAAACAAAACCAAAACAAAACACACATGTTTAATTGTCTCAAGAAAGCTGATAACTAATATGCAACATGTGGAAAATATTTGTCACTATCTACCATGCACCATACAGGCTCACTATCCCTTTGAAAACCGGAAGGTACAAATATGGTGAAGCAGCTTTGGCATCTATTTCCAAAGTTAATAATTTAAGAAGAACATGCCTTAAAATGACTTCAACATGGCAGCTGCTGGAGGCCTATGTATATATCATTGTGAAGCACACTTTCACATTAGTATCAAATAATTCACAAATTAATTTTGCTCATTTTCAGTTCCACATTTTCTTGTCCTTGTAAGTAAGCTGGTAATAATAAATGAGTGATTTTCCTTTACAAACCTTCAAATAATGTTTTTTATAATAGTGTCGTTAAAGGTCTCAGTTCAAAAATGTATTAATTCCGAAATGTTTCAATTTTGTTTTTTATCTAATTCAAATAATCAAAATAAAATATGTGAGAATTTATTTCCTAATCAAAAAGTGAAACATCTGACATTGTTAATGCCACTGTAAATTTAGTTGTAAAGCTCAACATTGAAGATAAACTGTTGTTTTGTTGTAAGAATAGGAATGCAAATGTTAATAGAGCACGCATTGCGATAAAATATTCTTACCAAGTTAACAAGCTATGGAGCAGAAATGTACTTGGAATTGGTTGTAATGTGCACAAAATTTGTGACTACATTCAAACAAGCTGCGGTATTCTGTCAGTCAAAATAGAAACTAAAATTGTCAAAATTTATAAATATAAATAAATACACACACACACACACACAGATTATATAACTGATCTACAAAACTTTTCTGACAGAAGCTGATATCAAATACTACCATGCAAGGAAACATTTCAGAATTACTATATGTATATTCCTGTCTGTGTTGCATGTCATCAATTGGATTTCGGGAATGCCTGAGCCTTTGAAAAACCACTTTGTAAAGCAACCCAAATTTAGATTGCATTATGTTCAAGACCAGTTGAAAATTTTTGATCGATTACTCAATGAATGTAGCATGAAAATTCAGCCTTTGAAGCTTTTAGCAAGTTACAATTATGTAAAATAAGGCTTGCAAAGGAAGAAGCTCAAATTTCTCCCTACAAAAGCCAAGAAGGAATTGAACAAATCAAAAGATGAAAGCAGATATGGTTTGATTATCTAATTTGACAATTGTGCTTCAGAAAAATCTTTGATGTATTTTGAGTTCTAATTTTATCTGCATAAATTTTTATTCTCCACCAAAATGGAGAAAAATTGTGAAAGTCTCTGATTTTACAATATCTAGATTTGGCAAAATGTTAAAACAATCACAGATATAGACAACTTGAAAGTTTTATCTTGTAAGAAAATTATTGAACAAAAGTGCTTTGAATGAAGATAGAAAGACAGCACCTATGATGACATTGGCCTGAAATATTTACATATTTTAATATAAAAAATGAAAAGATTCTTCATTTAGCAGAACTTACAGGTTCATCAGTATCTAGAGAAGAAATGTGTTCTCTGTTAAAAACATTACAGTCTACAGTGAAGCATCAATTAAAGTTGTCCACAATTTCAAATATATTAACCATAAAATGAAATTTTAAAAAAAGATTGCAGTTTTGTAAAAATAATAACTGTTTTTTTTAAAAAAATGGAAAAAAACGCATGTTCCTGAAAAATTTCCACATCACAATGCTAGGGACAATAATATCTAAATAACCAATTAAGGTATGTGAATACATATCAAGAATAATTATCTGTACCATTTAAAAATATTCAGATAATCAATTTTTTTTTTTTTTTTTTGAGACAGAGTGTCACTCTGTTGCCCAGGTTGGGGTTCTGTGGCACAATCTCAGCTCACTGCAACCTCTGCCTCCTGGGTTCAAGCAATTCTCCTGTCTCAGCCTCCCGAGTAGCTGGGACTACAGGCACCCATCACCATACCCAGCAAATTTTTTTGTATTTTTAGTAGAGACGGGGTTTCACTATGTCTGGTCACTTAAGATGAGACAGGTCACTATCTCTGGTCTCAAACTCTCCTGACCTCTAATGATGTGCCTGCCTCGGCCTCCCAAAGTACTGGGATGATAGGCATTAGCCACCATGCCTGGCCAATATTTTTTTAAAGTTGCTTGAGTGTTCACAAGTTTGTATCACTTTAAGATATTTCAGGAAATTTTTATTGTGAAAATAAATTTTGGATAGAATTATCTTATAGCTCCACTAATATAATAAGACCAAATTCAGGTCAATAAACGTATTTTTTTTTTGAGATGGAGTCTCACCCTGTCACCCAGGCTGGAGTTCAGTGGTGCGATCTCGGCTCACTGCAACCTCTGCCTTCTGGGTTCAAGTGATTCTCCAAGCCTCAGCCTCCTGAGTAGCTGAGATTACAGGTGCACACCACCACTCCCAGCTAAATTTTTGTATTTTTAGTAGAGACGGGGTTTCACTGTGTTAGCCGGGATGATCTCGATCTCCCGACCTCGTGATCCGCCTGCCTCGGGTGCCCAAAGTACTGGGATTACGAGCGCTAGCCACCGTGCCCGGCCAATAAACACATATTTTAAAAATGATATAGGCCGGGCGCGGTGGCTTACGCCTGTAATCCCAGCACTTTGGGAGGCCAAGGCGGGCGGATCACAAGGTCAGGAGATCGAGACCATGGTGAAACCCCGTCTCTACTAAAAAATAGAAAAAAAATTAGCCGGGCGCAGTGGCGGGCGCCTGTAGTCCCAGCTACTCGGGAGGCTGAGGCAGGAGAATGGCGTGAACCCGGGAGGCGGAGCTTGCAGTGAGCCGAGATTGCGCCACTGCACTCCAGCCTGGGCGACAGAGCGAGACTCCGTCTGAAAAAAAAAAAAAAAAAAAAATGATATAATATGACTACTTTTGGAACCCCTTTTCTTTCTAAAAAATATCCCAGTCTGAGCATTTGGTGACGTGGCCACCTCATCTGCATGATTTGGCCCCTTCACTTGCTGCCCCTGTGTCTCTGGTTCACTCTGCTCAGGCCACACTGTCCTTCTCGTGTGTGGTTCCCCAGAAGCTCCAGGTGCTTTTCCTGATGGCCTTTCCACCTGGATCATGTGACCCCAGATACTTGCTTTCTTTCCTCACCTCCTATATAAGTCCTTGCTCAAGCGTCCTCTTCTCAGTGAGTCCTTCCCTGGTCAGTATATTTATAATTGCCATCTCCCCCCACTTCCCATCTTCTATCCAAAAGATTAATTTTGCATATTAATTTCTTTATTATCTGTTTTGCACCACTGGAATGTAAACTGCAGGGCTTACAGTTTTGATTTGATTGTTTTGCTTTTTGACTGCTACATCCTCAGTCCTGGCACATGACAGGCCCTCAATACATATTTGTTCAATAAATAAATGAATTGCCGGCCAACCACCTTTTAGATTCACATGTTATTTCTTTTCATATGTCAAGTTTAATAACATTATAGTGTCCCCCTAGGCACCATCCTGTTTAGTTAAAGGAGCTTAGCTCTGACCCATTTTATTTGTTTTATGGTTCTAATCAAAGGAGGATCAACTACTCTATTTCAGTGGTTTTTAGGCAAGAAGGGGCTGCCAGTATTTGTTCATATGCCAACTACTCTGTTTAGAATTTGGCTTTTCTTTGTGGGATGGCTGGTAATTTCCCTGGCTTGTGAAAGAACAGCTCATAGATAATGCCACTTGTCAGTCCCCTTTAAAAGCTACAAACATCTATTAACTATGGGTATCATTAAGCCTCAACATTCTGATAACAAAAATTTATTCTTTGCTCTTCTCTTGTCACTTACATATTTTAGGCGCAGCTCGTGTATACCACCAATATCCAGGAGCTCAATGTCTACAGGTATTTTTTTTTCTATTAAATGCTTTCAAAAATTAAAGTTAGTAGATAATTGTTATCAATCTTTGTTTGGGTGATAATTTGTTTTGCAAGTGTTTATTATTATAACTCCTGTATCATCCTCCTCTTTCCGTAGTCTTTGAACATTGGTAGAATTCTGCAAAGCTGACTTGACAACTTCTCAAGGTGCCTGGCTTCTGGAGGGGTTGTCTAGGCTAGTGGGCCCTGCTATGTCCATTACCACCTAAAAAAGTGTAAATACTCCCAGAGTTACCACAGATGTTTTGTCCACACTATTCCAGAAGTTATGCTTCAGTTTCCTGAAAGATAAAACACACCTGAAGAAACATCAGCAAGATTCTAGCAATGTCAAAGCTAGGATGAGGATTAAACTAAGACAGTGGGTCTCCATGGCCAACTGATGAGTATTTACTTTTTCTTTCCATATTTGCTCAAAATTTATATAATGGGTAGAGGGATTTCCTTTTATGAGAAGTTCCATATTGAAACAAATACACTTACTAAATCATTTCTCCTGGCTAAAGCAGAATTGGCAGTCTGAAAAAATAAAAAGGTTAATTTACTTATTCTCTCCTTAGTTATAGCTTGCAATTTTTAACATCAGACAACTTTCTGGAAAACAAATTAAAGGGCATAAAATATAGATAGTAAAGATTCATGCTTGGGAAAGAGTGCTAGACCACACCTTATTTGGTTTCAGGATTGCAGTCAGTAGTGCACACATGCAAGGCAAAAATAAGGCAAGAACTGTTCTACAAGAAGTTTTCTTAAAACTTCCCTCTTAAGGATGCTTTTTACTTTGGTGAAGGTGAGTTCAATTTGTTGATACATATTGCCAGTTTGTTCTAGTTCCAAGGATGTTGCCAGGTGAGAATTCCTCCTAGTCCCTCCCTAGTCCCTGAAACCCCAATGAAAAATAAAAACAAAGCAAAACAATAACAAAAAGTGGCTGGCACACAATAGGTTTTCAGTAAATATTTGGCTTCTTAAATCTAGGAAACCAAGACTCCAATAGAAATGCGAGTGAATGCATGAACATATAACATGAAAACTAGCCCAACCAACAGCCTGTGTATCTGGCACTGTGATTAATTGATGGTCTACCAATACTAACTTATTGACACTCTCTTCCTCATAATATGGGCCTCTCTGGCCTATTTCCCATGATTTCCTCCTTCTCTTGCTCTATATTCCAGGGGAGCTGACCCCTTGGGTTTTCCAGGCTCCAGGATCAGTTGGTCCTCACTGTCTTCAACCAATGGGAGGCACTGTGGAAAGACTGCAGGGTAAAAAGCAATGAAATCCAGGGCATTTCCCCCCCAAGTCGCTCTATTTCCACAGGATCTCTGTCAGCAGCTTTATCTTCTTTATGACTTCAGCTGGAGCACAACAGTCTGCTGTGGTTTCAGCTTCTGCCTGTTGACTTGGGGCCCTAGTTCTGGTAACTTTTCCTCTTTTCTTTGTCCCTTTGGCTTAGGGTAGTAGTGACTTCTGGGTTACTCAGTGTCTTCTGTTTTGCTTCTTAGCTCTCCCCTCACCTGTGTAATCAAGTTTCTGGACTAAATTCTTTCTGTGTACTCATGTAGTTTGTGTTTTCCTGACTGGCCTTTGAGGTACTCCCCATTACTGAATGATACTTGCTGTGTAGGCAGGCCTCTGTGGGAGAGTAACATAAAATCCAGGTAACCTAGTAAGTATGTAATAGATGGATGCACATCCCTGAGACTGGTGTCACTCTGTGCTGGCAAGAATAGCATATAAATGGGATATTAGACACACAAACTATATTCCTGCATTCTGTTTCTGCTATTTACTCTGGCTTGCTTAAATGAACTAAACATTGCTTTTAACATACCTTGAAAGTATTTTCAAAACTAGATCTGAATATAACAATGGAATAACATTTCTAGTATAGTTACATATCAATAGCAACATGAGCAATAATTTAGAAATGTATCTTTTCCATAAACAAAAATAATTCTGCTAATAATCGAGAGGAACAAGTCGTAAAAATATAACAGAGAAATAAGTAGGGGGAAAAAACTCAGCACAGTAAAGCCCCTTGCTTCAATCTGGATTCTTTTAGATGCATCTTTTGTGATTTGTGTTACTGAAATCTCTGAGCAATGAAGTAAGTTGCTGCTGATGACATAGCCAAGCATCTTTACTATCTTCAAAAGGTCAGGGAATGAATCAAAGGCTCTTCTCTTTTCAGGAATATTTCCTGCAGCAGGCACTTTAATTTGTAATCATTAACTCTTCAAGGTCTCTCATTTCTTATGTAGAATTTTATACTGTTTACTCAATAACTGTTGGAGTATTATAACAATGATCTGTTTCCCTTTCTACACTGCACTAGGACTCTAGTTAAAAACCAGTGGGAATTCTTTGAAAAAGCACAAATTTGCCCCAACTGTGAGATGGGACAGTTTTTAGGAATATACAAGCCCTGCTAAGAAACTGCATTTATTCTACATTTGGGCATAGGGCAGCAGAATGTGTTCACAGTCCTGCTGCCTTTTGTATCCCCAAGCCATTTGCCTGTGGCAACACCTACCAAGGGATTATGACTGACCGAGCTGTGAGAAAAAGCTCCTCTGTACCTTCTTGGAAACATCCAAGATGGATTGAATCAATTACTTGCATACTTGACCATTTTTGCTCTCAGATTAAAATAAAAAATCTTGCATCTAGTAGAGGGCCATGTTGTACCTAAAAGATAAATTTTTTATCTTAAGAGATATCCATTTTCCTCTTATATTTTCCTTGTTGTTAAATAATCAAAAATAAGTGAACATGAGACATGTCGTATCCAAAAGATAGTCTTTTCTTCTTAAGAGAGAAAAGTATCCACTTTTCTTCTACTTTTTTCCTGGCTGATAAATACATAAAGATAACTAGTAAGTGTGTGTTTTCATTTTTGAAAATATATTTAGTGAAAGACAGAATATTTACTTTTATTTAAGGCTTTGCATCTTTGTGCAGATGAGAGAGAAGAGGCTTGAGTGGTCGTGAGACAGAGGGTTTTGGTTTGGTGGGTTGTTAGCTAAGCTTTGTTGATTAATGTTGATTACAAACATGATTCCACAGTCAGTTACCTTTTTATACCTTTTGACCCAGTGATTTCACTTCTTAAAATTTACTCTATATAAATGATCAAACATGGGTGCAAATATTTGTTTAGCAGTATTGAATATAATAACGACAGAAAACAATCTAGGTGTCCAACAATAAATTATTGGTTTAATAAATTGTATAATACATTATATATTTGAAAACCATATAGCCTTTAAACATTATTTTGGCAGGTAATTCAGGACAGACAGCACAAACTTTGCAGTTTGCAGGCCCAAGCTCTTTGTTACTTGCCAACTGTATTATGTACAAAAAAGTTTTTAACTTCTCTAAGCCCCAGTTTTTTCATTTGGAGGTGACAATACCTAGCTCTTAAGGTTGTCATTATAAAAGATTTAAAGAGAACCTGTGTAAAGCTCTGCATGGAGTGTCAGGCATAGTGTAGACAGACATTCAATAAATGCTATCTATTATGGTTGCAGAAGATAGAAAAATGTTTGCATAAGAGTAGGAAAAACGTAAAATTTGAGTTTTCTAAAATTACACACAATCATAGTTAAGTGTAATGGTATCAGCCGAAACGTTCAGAGTAATTGCCTCCTGAAAAGGGGATTACATGTGTTTAAAATTTTTTCTTTATATTTCTCTGTAGTTTTCAAATGTTCTACACTTAACATGTATTAATTTCATATTTTAAAACAATTTTAAATAGAAACCTCTACCCCATGACTGTATTTATGTACTTTACTGAAGGTTGTTTGTAGAACCATTGTGTGTGTGTGTGTGTGTGTGTGTGTGTGTGTATAACGGAGATATACAGGTGAATTGCACTACTGATGTCTCATCTGACACCTCCACTACTTCATCTGTTGACCATGTGTATTAGCTATTTTCCTAGTATAGATGACCTGTGTTTTGTTTTATTTTAAAAATATAACTTAAGATACAAAACTGTTTCATAAACTCATGTGCATAAACAGTCGCAGATTTTGGAAATGTATACATAGGGTGAAAAGTGAGACCACCCCGCTTAGAGTCTTTCCTCTCACCAACTCGTTACCAGCTCCACGGGTAACTGCTGTCAGGTTCTTCTCCTTACAGACTTATGTGTGTGCATATTCACACTTATGTACATGGGCTTATAAATTTACATAAATGAAAGTATATTTTTTCTTTCTTTTTTTCTTTAATTTGAGACAGGGTCTCTCTCTATTGCCCAGGATGGAGTGCAGTGGTGTTATTTTGGCTCACTGCAGCCTTGACCTCCTGGGCTCCAGTTATCTTCTCATCTCAGCCTCCCAAGTAGCTGGGACCATAGGCACGTGCCACCACAGCCAGCTAATTTTGAAATTTTTCATAGAGATGGAGTCTTCCTGTGTTTCCCCGGCTGGTCTTGAACTCCTGGGCTCAAGCAGTCCTCCTACCTCAGCCTCCTGAAGTGCTGGGATTACAGACGTTGAGTGACTGCACCAGACTGAAAGTGTAATTTTCATATTGATCTGGGCTTTTGTTTTTTTATGTTAACAATGTATGTTGAAAGTCTTTCTTAGTTCACATAAATCTATGGCTGCTTAGCAGTTGCATGTTATTCTACAGCATGGATGAGCCATAGTTTATTTTCCTTTAGCTCTGTTGGTTTATTTCCAATTTGCTCATAGAAACTGTACCCTAATAAATGTCCTTGCATATATATTTATATATATATGTCCAATTTTTCTGTAGGATAGATTCTTAGTAGCAAAATCGCTGAATCAAGTGGTATATGCATCTGAAATGTTGATAGACACTGCCTTGCAAAAGTGTTTATAAATTTACTTAACCACCTATGGTATATATAAATGTGTATGTGTATATATATATATAAAATTCATATTTTGCCAACACTGCATATTATCCCTCTTTTAAAATTTCAACTGATAGGTAAATATTGGCATCTCATTGCTTTAAATTGCCAATTTAAAGATTAATGAGGTTGAGGTATTTTTATATAGTAATAAACATTTGAGTTTCTTTTTCTGAAACCTGCTTTTTAAAAGAATCCTTAGCTCAGGTTTCTATTTTTCGAAATTATTTATAGATTTCTTTAAAATCTTGAATGTTATGTTTTAAATATTTGTTTATATTTAAGTTTTGTGAACTTAGCTGTATCAGTTTTTTTTTCATTTTTGACATTACTTCAGAATTTTGTGTCCATCTTAGGAAAGCCTTCATTACCCCAAATTGTAAAATATATTCTTCATTTTTTTATTATCATTACATTTAAAAATATTTGTATCTATCTTTAATTTGTCTCAAATGTATTCATGTATATGGTGTGTTGGGGATCCATATTTATTTTGTCCCAAATAGGTTGTTATTCATTGAGTGGAGTAGTCTGTTTTGGATGATTTGAAATGTCACATTGATCATATAGGAAGTTCTTTTAGGTGCAGGAGCCTGTTTCTGGGTTTTCTAATCTACTCCTTTGACCTATTTGTTTTTTAACTTTATCTTTTTCTTTTTTCTTCTTCCTTTCCTTTCCTTTCTTTTCTTTCTTCTCTTTTTTTTTTTTTTTTTTTTTTTTTTGGTTTGTTTTTTTGACAGGGTCTCATTCTGCTTCTGTTGTCCAGGCTGGCATGCAGTAGTGTGATCACAACTCACTGCAGCCTTGGCCTCCTGGGCCAAAGTGATCCTCCTGCCCCGGCGTCCTGAGTAGCTGAGACGACAGGTGTGTGCCACTATATCTGACTGATTTTTGAATTTTGGTAGAGACAGGGTCTCCCTATATTGCCCAGGCTGGTCTTAAATTCCTGGGCTCAAGCAGTCCTCCTGCCTCAGCTTCCCAGAGGGATCACAGGTATGAACGATCACACCCAGCACTATCTATTTTTTTTTTTTACCAACATCATACAAATTTAATTATTGTTACTCTATAAGACACCACATCTATCAAGACAAATATTCCCTCTGGTTTTTTTTTTTTTTCTTTAAAACTTTTAATTTTTATAGAGACCAGGTGTCTCTCATGTTTCCTAGGTTGTTCTCAAACTCCAGGTCCCAAGTGATTCTCTTACCTGGACCTTCCAAAGTGCTGGGACCACAGGTGTGAGACACCACACACCCCTCCTATTTTTTTTTTTTTCTCAAAATTGTCTTGAGTGTTCTATCCCATAAATGTTAACATTGCCTTACTAATTAGCTTGAATAATTATGTCAGAATTTTTATGTGAATTACATTGAATTTACAATTTAATTAGGGGAAACTGACGCAATATTTATCTTCATTTATGTAGGCCTTCTTTTCTAAAAATACATTTTATTGTGCATATTTAAGGTGTACAATATTATGGGATATGAATAGTAAAATGGTTACTATAGTGAGGCAAATTAACATAGTTATTATCTCATACAGTTACACATTTTTGTTTGTTTGTTTTTGTGGCAAGAACAGCCAAAATCTACTCATTCAGCAGGAATCCTAAATACAACAATTTCATTACCGATAGTTCTTATGTTGTACATTAAGATCTCTAGGCTTGTTCATCTTACATATCTGCTACTTCATATTCTCCAGCCTACACATCCCCATTTTCACTCCCTTTCCTGCCCCTCATCACCGATATATCTGCATATTTGACCTTTTTAAATAACAAAAACAATTCCACCTATAAGTGAGATCATGCAATATTTTTCTTTCTTATTTAACTTAGTATAATGTCCTTCCAATTCATCAGTACTATGAGAAATAGCAGGATCTCCTTTTTTTTAAGGCTGAATAATATTCTGCTGTGTTTGTGTGCATATTTCACAATGTCTTTATTCCATTGGTGTCCATTCACTGATGGACGCTTAAGTTGTTTCCACCTCTTGGCTATTGTGAATAATGCTGCAATGAACATAAGAGTGCAGATATCTTTACGAAGTAGTAATTTCATTTATTTTGTGTATGCCCAGAAGAAGGATTCCTGTGTCATGTGGTATTTCTATTTTTAATTTCTTTAGAAACCTCCATATTATTTTCTGTAATGGCTGTATCAATCTACATTCCCACCAACAGTGTATAAGTGTTCTTTTTTCGCCATACCCTGGCCAACATTTGCCATCTTTTGACTTTTTGAGAATAGCTATCTGTTTGTTAGTGGTATCTCATAATAGTTTGATTTGCATTTCCCTGATGATTAATGGTGTTGAATACCTTTTCATATACCTTTTGGCCATTTTTATTTCTTCTCTGGAGAAACATCTATTCAGGTCCTTTGCTCATTGGTTAATTTGATATGTGGATCTTCCTTTATGTCAATGGTTTTTCTTCATAGAATTCTTACACATTTTTTGTTAAATATATTATTGATATTTTATAACTTTTGTTAGAATTGTGAACAGGTTCTTTTTTTCTCATTGGATTTTCAAACTGCTTATTGATGATCAGTAGGAAAGAGACTGCTTCATTTTATTCTTCTATCTAATCACCACCCTGATCTTTTTTATTCATTCCAATGGTTGTTCAGTCGTTTATCTTACATTTTCCTGGGAAGTTATTATACCATCTATTTTAAAAGAAAGAATGAGGATGTGCTGCCTTTTTTCAACTATATAATCCTCTTATTTTACTTTTAAATGTGTTTGATAATGTATTCTAGAATAATGTTGAAGATTGCCAATGATAATAGGATCTATGTCCAACTTACCTCTTAATTAGAAATCTGCTTAATATTTGACTATCAATTATGAGGCTTGATGTAGATTTCTTATGGAAACATTTTATCAGTTTATAGACTTTTTCTTATTTTTCTTGATATTCAACAACAGGAAGTGTTGTTAAATTTGTCTTCCACTGCTTTTTCAGCACATATCATTGTGTTTATAAAGCTTTTCTCCTATTTGTTAATGAATTATATTAATCTTTTTCCTAATTTTGAACTATTTTTGGATGACCAGTATAAACGCCACCTAGCCATGACTTTTAAAAATTTTTTATGTCTTTTTAAAAAAACACATTTCAACTAATTTTATTTAACTTTCTCTCTCTCACGCATGCACATCATTTTTTTTATTTTAAAAAGTTTCTGGGCTATATATAGAATGAAATAATGTTCTATATTTTTCTATGTATTTGGAAATTTTATACAACGATACCCCCAAAACTGTCAGTTTTTGTTTTATTTCTTGTTTTCTATTTCATTAATTTATGTGTTTATTCCTTCTGTTCAATTATTTTAGATTTTTCTGAGACTCTTGATTTGGAAGTTTTGTTTATTTCTGATCTTCCTCATTTTTTAATATCACACTTAAGGCTATTTATATATTTTCTTATCAGTAATATTTAGCTTTCAACTCCCAAAGACGTGTGCGTGCATGTGTATGAGAGAGTGTGTGTGTGTGTGTGTGTGTGTGTGTGTGTGTGTTTTCATTGCTATTTCTGTCTGGTTTGAAATTCAGTTTAATTTTTTTTATCCCAAGAATTATTTAGAAGTGCTTTGTTTTTTCTTAAGTGGATAGTTTTTATGATTAATTCGTACTTCTATTCACTCCAATCTAAGAATATGGTCTATATGATGTACTTTAAAAAATTTATTGAGCTTTACTTTGTTTCCTCATATATGATTAATTTTACTAACGATTATGCAGATACTTGAATAGAATCCGTATTCTGTTTATTGGGTCCAAAGTTTTGTTTATTTATAATTTTCTTACAATTATATGAATATGAAATCATCATCATATATATTATCTAAACTTTCTGCACCAGAGATTTGCAAACTTGTTCTGTAAAGAGGCAGATGGTAAGTTTGTTAGGCTTCATGGACTATAAAGTCTTTGTAGCAACTACCTAACTGTGCAGAAAAGCAACTATAGACAGTAACTAAATGAATGGACATGGCCAGATTTGATTCAAGGACTTTATTTGTTGATGCCTGCTCTATATTCTGGTTTATTTTTATTTTTTGACAATAACTGACAGGAGATATAATACTTTTTATAACTTAGATGGCCAGGGAGAAATAGAGACAAAAGGCAGAGAGAACTTGTTTAGATTTTCAGTCAGTACATATTAATGTATATTTTTAAATACCTCCATCTCTGATTTTAGATTCATATCCAGGGGATTCATTATTACAATTGCATTTCCAGTACTTTATGTGTGGTTTAACATTATTTGAATTTTGATTTGTTCATATGACTTTTTTGTTTTCCCTCTCTAGTGAAGCCCAAGAGCCAAAGGTATCACCACCACCTTCTAAAACGTCAGCAGCTGCTCAGTTAGATGAGCTCATGGCTCACCTGACTGAGATGCAGGCCAAGGTGAGTGCAGTCCAGATGATAAACAGGGCCCATGGGGTCACCAATTTATCTTCGTGGAACTCAGCTCTGCATTCTCCCACTTAGGAATTTTCCTAAGTTGTCATTGCTTTTTCCAGACTAAATTTAATTCCATGAATTAACCCATCTTTGTACTATGTGTTATTTGGACACAAAAATTAATATATAATACAGACTTTGATCTCAAGGAGCTGGAGTGTGCTTGGCAAAATGAGGCATAAGTTTTTTTTAACATTCATAGAATAAAAGCCAGGTGGTTTGCAAACATATGTAGAGCAAACGTTACAGATATAGAGAGATTTTGGAGTTTTAATCAGATAGTTGAAACTTGGGATGGACTCTGAAGACCTGGCAGAGTTTGGACATAGAGAGATGGGAAGAAAGGTGATGTTAGTTGCAACGAGTCCTGAGGGCAGAGGTATCTAAGACTTGATAATGTGAAAGGATTTTCTTTTTTTTTTCTTTTGAGACAGAGTCTTGCTCTGTGACCCAGGCTAGAGTCAGGTGTCACAATCTTGGCTCACTGCAACCTCTGCCTCCTGGGTTCAAGTGATCCTCCTGCCTCAGCCTCCCGAGTAGCTTAGATTACAGGTGCCCGCCACTGTGCACAGCTAATTTTTGTTGTATTTTTAGTAGAGATGGGGTGTCACCATCTTGGCCAGGCTGGTCTCGAACTCCTGACTTCGTGATCCACCTGCCTAGGCCTCCCAAAGTCCTTGGATTACAGGCGTGAGCCACTGCACCTGGCCGAAAGGACTGTTAAAGAGACCTGACTAAGCAGGACAGAGGATACCAGTGAGCAAGCTGAGACACAGCAGGGGAGATCAAAGCATAGCTCTGACAGTAGGAAGGGTGAGAAGTCCCAAGCCCGTATTGAGATAAAATCTGCCTCTTTGTTCTAGTCTCTAGAACACCTCTAAAGTGGTGAGCTCACATGGTCTGGCATGGAATGAAAATCTCAGATAAATGGGCTTAAAGATTTATTTAGGAAATATAATCCAGAATCCTTAAGGCAGAGAATCCAACCATTTTAAATCTGGTTGGAGGATTTGATATATACTCATGAGGTGACTATGAAGTAATTTCAAAGCAGTACATAAAAACGTGTGTGATTGGAGAGGGCAGGAACCTTATCTTTAGAGCTCACCTTGGGACTCCCAGTGCTCAACACAGGGCCTGATACATTGTGAGCAACACATATTTATTAGAGAGATGAATAAATAAACATTACAAACAAGTTTTCCTTAATGACTTACATCCTTTGATGGGCCAGTGTCTACAATAAAGCTGGGTAGATTGGCTCATTATGCTGTATATCTGAAAATACTAGAAAAAAATGTACATTAGATTTAATTGTGTTGTGTTTCTAATTGTTTTAGCATGTATCTTGGTTTATTTAAATTCTTAATTTACAACGCCATCTTTTTTTTTGAGACGAATTCTTACTCGGTTACCCAGGCTGGAGTGCAGTGGCATGATCTCAGCTCACTGCAACCTCCACCTTCTGGGTTCAAGCGATTCTAGTGCCTCAGCCTCCTGAGTAGCTGGGATTACAGGCATGCGCCACCATGCCCAGCTAATTTTTGTATTTTTAGTAGACGAAGTTTTGCTATGTTGCCCAGGCTGGCCTCAAACTTCTAAGCTCAGGTGACCTGTCTGCCTCGGCCTCTCAAAGTACTAGGATTACAGGCATGAGCCACTGTTCCTGGCGCCATTTATCTTTTGAATAAGCTTCACCTTCACATTGTACAAAAAACGAAAGTACAAAAAGCTTGCACTGAACTGTTTCCTTCTCAGCTCTGCAGCCTAGCCGTCCAGTTCTGCCCCACTGGAGATAGGCAGAATTTCCTGTCTCTTCTATATCTGTTCAGAAGTATTCTGGAAGGTACCAGTGAAGAGATAGAGATGTAGGTGTAGATGTAGTTATATTGTATTTTTACTTATTTTTCATAATTAATGTCAGTCACCCCTTCAGACCTTTCAGACACTAACCTTCTGAACACTAACCTCTTGAATATTAACTAACATATTAGAGGAGGAAGGATGTCTGTCAGATGATCAAAATATCTTGAAGGAAAATGAGCATTTTGATTGGTGACAATGTGATGTTTAACAGGCAGTAAAAGTAGGATAAGTAGAGGTCTTAAGGCAGACAGTAACAGATCACATTCGGGAGACTGAAGAGCCCAGCTGGCCTAAACAATGGAGGCCTTTTACAACATAGTATTAATAAAAGATGAGATTGGGAAAGATAAAAAGGGAGGACAGGGGATGGGGGGCTTTGAATGTCTGTCTGATGAGTGCAGACTTGATGTGGAGGCAATGGAGAGCCATTGTAGTTTTCTGATGAATGAAGTATTTGGTAGATAGATGGTAGCAGTCGCCCAGCTGGAAAGGAGTAGAGAGAGCCAGAATCAGGATATGAGGTTATGAAGGGTCAGTTAGCTCCCCTCCCCCGCCACTTTTTTTTAAAGTAAGGATCTTTCTTTGAATGGTTTATAATAATTTTGGACTTTGCTTAAATAATTCCAATCCATCAACAAGTCTTATCTGATGACTTCTCACCACCTTCTCCTATAACACCGATCTAAGTCATTGTCTGATAATCTCCCTATGTTCACTCTTGCTTGTCAACACTTAATTGTCCACTCAGCTACTACAGGGATCCTCCAGATTCTTTCACTCCTGTGCTTGAAATCCTGCAATGGCTCCCGTCACCTTGGAATAAAACCCAAGTGTTTACCATGAGGTTCCTATGTGATCTTTGCCTCTCTCTCTCGATCACCTTCTCCTGCTGTGTTCAATCTCACTCCCTCTGCTTTAGCCCCACTGACCTCTTTGACTTTTCTTCTAATGTGCCAAGTTGTTTTCTTCCTCAGGGCCTTCCCTCACCCTAGAATGCTTTTCCCATAAATGCCAATATTTCTGAGTCCCAAGTATCTACTCAAATATTACTTCCTTAGAGGGGCCTTCTTTGATTATTACCTCCATCTAAATCAATTATTCTTACCATCTTCGTGTGTCATTTCTCTCTTTCTATATAACATCTCTATCTGACATTGTAACATATATTTATTTGTTTAATTGTTTATTGTCTATCACCCACAGAATTCCATGAGACCAGACACTTGGTCTGTCTTATCCTTGCTTTAATCCAAGTGCTTAGAGCAATGATTGGCACAAACCGGGTATTCAACAAATACTGCCAAATAAGTGAGTAAAATGGAGATGTGACTAGTTTTTGAACTAGGGTCATCCTAAGATCTTCAAAGGGTATCATTTTCATGTACTAAAATTCCTATGTTAAGAAAAGATTTACAAACAGAAGATTAGTCAGATTTCATTTGGCCTGAGGAGTTTAGGGTGAAAGGGAGATGACAATATTTTTATTGGTGTTGAAATTTTAGATTCTTCCAATGCCTTGGAGGAAGACTGGGGAAAGGCTAAGAGATCAGTCAGGAAAGGTGAATTTATAGAGTCATTAGAAGATGCCAGTGAGAATAGAAATACATGAGACTGATTCTGTTCTTGGTTCTTCCCTTGGACCAGGTTGCAGTGAGAGCAGATGCTGGCAAGAAACACTTACCAGACAAGCAGGATCACAAGGCCTCCCTGGACTCAATGCTCGGGGGTCTGGAGCAGGAATTGCAGGACCTTGGCATTGCCACAGTGCCCAAGGGCCATTGTGCATCCTGCCGGAAACCGATTGCTGGGAAGGTGAGATGGGCTGAAATTTTGGTCCTACAGCCTTCTGTGTCTTTCTCTGTCCCATCAAGGTTTGCTCTTTCTCCTTATAATTTGAGATATTTTAGTTATCATGAATAATTACTAATCACAGTGCTCTGGCCACTGAGCTAAGTGCTTTACAAGTATTTCCTCATTTAATGGTCACATCGGCCCTTCAAGAAGCATGGTTGCTCCCTTTGTAAAGATAAGGAAACTAAGGGCTCAAAGACATTAATGGACATATTCAAGGCCTAGTAAGAAGTAGAGATAAGATCTGAAACCAGTAGACTCTCTCCCAAGTGAGTTCTTAACCATTTTTCTGTACTGCCTTTACTGAGATGACCTTTCTCACTGCTCCCTTTGTTCAGACATTCCCAGCCTAAATTGATTGATTACAATTTTCAGCTGAACTCAGCTCCAAGTCACAGCTGCAGACCCCTGTTCTGCATCATCCTTCACCAAAGCTGTGATAAAAGGCTTGGAGACCTGACTGCATAGGGCATGGAATAAAGTGTTCGAACTAGAGGAATAAAAACTGTCATTTGGCCTTTTCCTCTTCCAGGGGTCCCTTCCACACCAAGGCTACAGTTACAACTTGTGTGTCATTAATGTGCTCTGTGGTGTTTCGGCCACCCCCTGTGGCAGTGGAGTGGTTGTGAACATTTGCAGGCTTTCATTACAGTGATCAGTCAGGGAAGTGGGCATCCTTTTATTATCAATCCATAAAGCACAGACAACAGATGGCCTTAGGTGGAACCTAGGTCTAGGCCTCAGTGTTGTGTAATTCCACAGGGTGTTGTCTACAAGGGGTACAGTGTGAAGAGTGCTCCCTAGAGTTGTGCAACCTATAGGCTATAGAGCACTCAACTGGGCTCCTGTGTCAGGCTTCATTTCACTCCACAGGTGATCCATGCTCTAGGGCAATCATGGCATCCTGAACATTTTGTCTGTACTCATTGCAAAGAAGAGATTGGCTCCAGTCCCTTCTTTGAGCGGAATGGCTTGGCCTACTGCCCCAACGACTACCACCAACTTTTTTCTCCACGCTGCGCTTACTGTGCTGCTCCCATCCTGGATGTAAGTAAATCCCCACTCCTCTCCAGCTTTCAGTCACTCGTTCAGAACCAGAGTTATGCTTTACAACTCTGCATCATTGTAATATCTGTGTGTTCCCTTTTCAGAAAGTGCTGACAGCAATGAACCAGACCTGGCACCCAGAACACTTCTTCTGCTCTCACTGTGGAGAGGTGTTTGGTGCAGAAGGTATGACCCGACTTGAGAGGTGGTATCCCACACCCCAGTAGGTAGTTATAAGACCAGCAACACCTTTCCTGGTAGTCATGGGAGTCCTGGTTCCTATCACTACTATCGAAGCGCCCATTTCAGTACTAGATACCATCCCTCTCTACCTTTCTCCAACATTTGTAAGTTCCCTTTAAATTGATGTTTTAAATCACAGAAATACAAGTGCATAGTTTAAAAACTCAAATATTAGTTCACGGGTAACATTGAAAAAGACTTTTCTTGTTGAATATTGAAAAAGTCTCTTTCTCATCCCCAAATCCAGTTCTCCTCTCCAAATTATTTTAGCTGTTTCTTCTGTTATTTACTTATTTGTTGTTGTTGTTGTTGTGTGTTTTTTGGATGGAGTTTTGCTCTGTTGCCCAGGCTGGAGTGCAGTGGTGCAATCTCTGGTGCGATCTCGGCCCGCTGCAACCTCCACCTCCTGGGTTCAAGCGATTCTTCTGCCTCAGCCTCCTGAGTAGCTGGGACTACAGGCACTTGCCACCACGCCTGGCTAATTTTTGTATTTTTAGTAGAGACGGGGTTTCACCATATTGGCCAGGCTGGTCTTGGACTTCTCATCTCATGATCTGCCTGCCTCAGCCTCCCAAAGTGCTGGGATTAGGCATGAACTACCATGCCTGGCCTGCTTATGTGTTTTAAATAATAACTTATCTTGTTATAGGTTGTTTTATTTTTCCAGTTTCAACCATTATGTATTGACTGTCTAGGAGGAAAGATGAGATTTAAAAATGTTATTATTACCCCACTCAGTCCCAACATATTTCCCCTCCCCTGTTTTTTCAATATATAATTATGTCATAATTACAGATTAGATTAGTATTCAGTGTGTATATGATGACAATCATAAAATACTGCTCACAAGTAAGCCATGTACTAAACGGACTACATTAGAGTCTGGATTTTAGAGTCAGACTTCCCGGTTCAAATCTGGGTTGTGGTATTTATTAACTGTATGATGTTGTTCAAGTCATTTAACATCTCTGTACCTCACTTTCCTCATCAGTAAAATAGTCCTAATGAAATTGCCTACCTCATAGGGTTGTTATGAGGATTTCGAGACAATACAAGCATAGTATTTAGAACAGTGCCAAGCACACGGAGGTATAGTAATGTTAATATTATTATCACAGTGTCCTTTTTGTATAAATTCATTTTTTTCTTAAGTTAACATTTGAATCCTTTTTGAAATTAGCTTTGTTTTCATTGTACTTACCACTAAGTTATGTAACAGAACTGTGAAATTCTTTTCAAAATGGTCAACTACATCTGGCAATAAGTCAGTTTCTTTTTTTTTTTTTTTGCTAGAGATATCCCTCCAGGAGACTTTCTTCCTCCTGATTCAACATGAAATGATTTCTTCCTGCTGAGTAACAGTCATTCTGGTTCATTAGCTTAGAATTATATCTAGTAATTACTCTTAGAAATCCCTTTTATTACTTTCCTCTCTGGATTCTCTGTTTCCTGGGTCCCATGTCTATGTTTTATACATGTTACCACCTTTATTTTGGTGGGGAAAATCCCCTAGTAACTTTCTGAGAAAGAATTTTTGAGAACTTGAATATCTGAAAATATTTTTACTCTGTCATTTCCCTTAAGTTGCCTGGGCATAGAATTCTAAGTGGAAACTATTTTCCTTCATAATTCTGAAGACATTGCTTCACCGTCTTCTACCTTCCATGGTTGGCAAGTTGTTATTAAAATTTTTTTATCCTTGATCCTTTCTACATGACCCATTCTTCTCTCTTTGTATGTTTGTTTCATGTGTTTTCTGAATTGTCTTTTTTTTTAAAATTTCTTCTTTTTATGTTTGTTTTAAGCAAATATGGAATCAGAAAGCTGCTTTACTTTGTTTTTTTTTCCTGTCCTTTTAGAATGAACTCAGTGGGGAAGGATTTCTCCTCTCTTACAAATAAAAGCTGGTGCAGTCCTCTGTCTTTTCTGATTACTCTTAAAAAACAGTTCTAAATATAAAATCAATTTAAGAAACAAAACACAAAAACTAAGCCCATAGGTAATTCGGTCTGCGTAGTAGTTAAGGCTTACAGCACTTTAAAAGTGACAGCTACTCCCTCCCTTTTTTAGGACCTTCAAGCTGCAGGAGGTGAGGACAGGGGTATGGCCTTTCATTTCTCCTGACCCCACTTTGTTATCTACCACCCTCACCCTTATTGCCAGCATTGACACCTGCCTGCTGTAGGCTTGAAACACTAGGGAGGATGGAGATGAGAATGGAAGGCAGGAAGGTCTAACTTGTCTGGGATTGTTGTTAAATTGTCTGTATGCTCTCCAGGCCTGGCCAGTGTTTAGCTCTTTTTTCCCTGAATTCTTTTTGGGATTAAGACAGGTCCAACAGTGAACTCTTGATTGCCCTTTATGTGTCTTGACTGGCTATTCTGTCCTTGTCATGTTTCTTTGAGGATTTGTTTTGTAAAGATTCTTTTTTTTCAAGGGGCTTTCATTGTTCCCCCCTAGTGAACCCTTAGAAATTATTAACATGGTTCCAGATCATCTATTCCACTCAAATTTTCATAGAAGGACCATGGATAACTTACTCTTTTCTCTGACAGCCAGTGGATTAATTTTTAGCTGCATGTTTCTATTCAGCTGCCATAGGCTCTTTCAGCCAGACTCACCTATGGACTTTTTCCAGGGATAACTCTGATACCACTAACTGCATCTCACTAATGCCAAGGCACACATATCCAGCTCTCTGAGTGGTCCCACTGAAGTCCCTCTTTTAACCTGAGTGATAACCTCAGGTTATCTTGATAACAGAACTATACCTCATCTTTCTTGGTGGTGATGAGGCACTCATAGCACAGTTTTCTTCAAAGAAATCCTTCTCTCAGTTTTCCCTTTTCTTTACCTGTTTTCTCCTGAACATGAGTGAGGAATTCCAGAATTGTACAAATAGTCTTTGGCTACCTGTTTGGAGGGATGTTTTGCAGTTCAATTTGGAATTTGATATATATTACATTTTGGTGCCTTACATTTGTTTACACTGGTCTTTGCAAATACTGCTGATCCATGGTTGTCGGTTACTGTTTAAGAATGAGACACTAAAATGCTAATTTCAAACTCCATGGATATAGACAGAAATTGTTGACTGGTGGACTTGACTATATGGTACTCAGGTAAGATGCTCTGGCCATTTTGTTGAGTGACTCCTGAATATGACAATCTTAGGTCTTTTCTGTTGAGCCAATTATGCTAAAGAGATGTTCTCTTTGCCAGCATTCTGAGATTGAAAAAGGGGATGGGGAAATGGACTTTCACCATTCAGCATGTCAACTTTTACTTAATTCCCATTTTTCGGTAGAGAGCTTGACTCATTTCCTCATGGTGTCCAACATTCCTGATCATTGAGACTCTCTTGTTCAATATTTACAGAAATAATCACTGCATCTTACCATAAGATAAGGCATCTAACCTTCTAATCATTCTTTAGACTTTCAACCAGTCCTGTTTCTAGCCTTGAAGAGTACCTCATGCATTCAATTTCTGAGCCCCTCTGATATTATTGTATTCAAGATGGCTTGATTTTTATTGGCCTCTCCCATCTGTGGAGACATAAGTTCCAGTTTTCTTATTTATGTTAAGCCAGTTGCCACTCTTACAACCTACTTTAAATTCTTGAAAATTTAGTTAATATCTCATCTGGTGGCATATCCTTTACTTTTTTATCTTTCCTTATGGCTCTTTATAATTTACGTAATTCCTTAACTGTCATGTTAATGATGTTTCAGGAGGGAGTAAAGAAAATCCCATGTGTTTAGGCCCTTTGCTAATATGGAGACTTTCCCAAATATCAGGCATATTATTATGTATGTGGTTAAAAATAATTTATTTGATGCCACCGCAGTCTTGTGACAGCAAGTTTATTCCACATTTTACCTAGTTATAGATAAAAATAGTGAGTCTCAGGTAGGTAAAGGATTTTCTTAAAGTCACACAGTTAGAAAGTTGAAGAGGCAAGATTTCAAGTTGGGTATCATTTCTGCAAGTTCCATGTTTTTCATAAAACATCACAACTGCCTTTTGACTGAAACTCAATTCCTCTTCTGCTGTTGCATCTCTTTACTTTTGTGGTACTAACACAATATGCTTTATTTGACAATAGACCTAGATACAGTGGCGCTGACAGATTCCACAAGCAAAGTGCCCTGTAGTAATTTGCTTGTTTACTGGAGCTTGCTCAATGCTTTTCCACAAATCATTAGGTATTTCATTTCTAGATGGTATTTTACCTAAGCAGCATTTTTCATTGACACTTAATACAAATCATATTAAAATGTGTTATAGTAATTTATATTGTACTGGTAGCCACAAAAGTCTGAGAATTAGTTGAGTAGAACAGTCAGCAAGTGAATACTGCCCCGTAGATCATTATGATGGAGAAGTTGCCTGAAAGCAGAACAAGAGGACATAGGCACATTTCAAGTAGAGACATAAGTTAGATACACATACACAAAAATATCTAATCCATAGGATGACCAGAAAGCACCATGAAGGTAACTAGTTCTCATTTTCTTGACTCAGGCCCCTTCTAGACAGACAGGGCTGATGGGGTCATTTATGGCTTTATATAAACAGGAAACAACACTTAAAACATATTTATACGTAGAGTCACATGACAAAAAGTGACATTTATTAATCAGAAGCTCCACTTGGGTTGTATTTTCCTTTTTATACCTGGCTTTCTGTAAAAAGGTCTCCTGCCATATGGTCAGTCCATTAATTAGGTGACATCCTGCCTCACCCCAAGTTACATAGTCACAAGGAGTTTCTATAATGACAATTTAACCACTGAGCCTTCTGGGAAATTAAATTCGTCTGTATTTTTTCATCAGTTCAGAGAATTCCTCTTTAGGGGGCTCAAGCCATTGGGCCTTAGCCTCCTCCCACAAGGATGAGCTCTTCAGTGTCTACCTGTGTTTCTTTTTAATTGCTCATTA